ATGCACGGTGGCGTGGCAATGTGCAGTGTTGGTTCTGCGAGCACGCGAGACCAAACTACTCCCAGGAAATGTTCGAGGATCCGGACATGAACGAGTTTTTCGGGGAAGTGAAGCAGGAGCCCACAGCAAAGCGTCGACGACCCGAGGAGACGACCCAAAAGTCGCAGATGCAAGCATCGGGAGGGCGCAAGGACGAATTGGTCATTACTTTGGCAAGGCTGGCAATCAAACAGGAGGAGGAACTGCAGGTCTTAAAACAGGATCACTCCTTCATGCTGTTCATGCGTCCAGGCAAGGACTCGATTCTGCATTACCTCTTTCAAACAGCCACCTTGTTCAAAAAGAAGCAGGAGGAGTCCCCGACTTGGGGAGCTTCCTTCCAGCCACTTCGAGTGGTCCTGTCGCTTGCACTCTTTCGCGAATTGGCCTCGAGGATCGAGTTGGTGGAGAAGGACGAGGCCAAACGGAAGGAGGTGACGGACATGGGCTGGGTAACTCAGGACCAGAAATGGAAATTTCAGGTCTGGAACCCCCAACTCAAATGTCTTCAAGAAGACCGGGAAAGGCCACCGATGAGCACTCAGGACATCAAGGCCTTACTGGAACGTCTTTATGCAGCCATCAAGACCGACATTGTCACCAGGTTCAGCTGCACGAGACGGTTAACCGAATCGATGGAGTCTCAGGCCTCCTTCTACTTCGACCTCTCGTGCCGGGGCAAGGGACAAGAGGCTTGGGAGATCATGCACACCCTGCAGGGAAGTTGTGTCCTGCAAATGATCGGCCTTGCGTACAAGAGGGCAGGTCTGAAACGAGGCCCCCTCACCCAGAAGCTGAAGGACCTGCTGAGCAGACGATGAGGCTCGTGTTCGGCAACCACAATCACAACAGTTGCTATATGAATAGCTTCGTGCAGGGACTACTATGGGCCGTCACGACGAGTGCCTGGACTTCCTCGCGCTCGCATTCACTATCTTCGCTGGGGAGCAGCGCTCAATACTTCAGACAACTTCTTCAACAGGTTCCCAAGGTCAAGCATCTCACTCAGGACTTCATGTGGAGATCTTTAATTACAGGATGGCAGGACTGCCATCAGCAACATGACGTCGCGGAGTTTGCATCCTTTTTCTGTGAACGACATCGCATACAAGCGGTGACAGGAGAATGGGAAGCTAGAACCTACGTCGACGGGGTGGGGCAACCAGGAGATGCGGGGCACTGTACTCAGCCTATTCTCCTTACAATGCCTTGTCAACCGCCGGGGCTTGCGCCGGAGCTGCAGGTACAATCACTGGTTGATTCATGGTATGCTCAAGAGGCTACACATGCTTTTACAGCTGCTCCCTCAGTCCTGCTCCTACAACTGGGACGCTTCCGAATCATAGCCGGCAAAATCCACAAAGTTCACACGTCAGTGATTGTCAATGAGGTCCTATGGATTCCGATTTTTGAGAATGCCAACTTTCAGGTGGGCTCAGTACAGTATCGGCTTGCATCCATCATTTGTCATCACGGGCAACACCCTCGATCCGGCCACTACCAGGCTCTGCTGTATTCAACGAGCGGACTCTGGAGCTGCGATGACAATAGGGGCTCTCGCCGCTGTGACTCCACTCCTGAATGGAGTAAGCCTAGCTGTTATATGCTGATGTACAAACGGCACACACCAGCAGAGAACGAGTTGCTGACTTTAGATTGTGAAGATACGCACTATTTTCCTACTCGGTATGCTTAGGTCTCTCGGGACGGTGCCGAGTAGTGGGTCGTGAGACAACCACTGCGTTGTGCAGCCAATAGTGCTGCCGGGCCTTAGGCTTGCTCGCCATTACGTCTGTCGCCTGGTGGATCGGATCCGCTGCGCTTGAAGCTTGAAGCTACTCCTACTCCTACTCCTACTCCTACCCCTACCCCTACCCCTACCCCTACTCCTACTCCTACTCCTACTCCTTATGCAACAGGCTTCCACTTCGCCCGGAGTTAGGTCTACTACTCCTACTCCTACTACTACTACCACCACTATGACTACCACCATTACGACGACGACGACTACTGCTGCTACTACTACTACTACCACTACCACAAGTACTACTTCTGCTGATGCCGCCGACCGACGTCTTTCCGCTGCTCTTGCCATGGCAGTGCTACCATGGGGGATCATCACTATTGCTTGCGCCAAACTTCCACTTTTGCTGTTCCTGTATTGCCCCGCCCCCACCCCCTCCATCACCTGAGTTTGCCAAGTACCCATGTCCACCAACACAGACTATAAGACTTAGGCAACAGTCAAGGAAATTCAAAGTTTGAGGTTGTGGCGCCAAGTCGTTTTGTTGATCATTCTGGTTGGTGTGGTGTCGGCCCAAAACCATTGGCATCTTCTCTCTCTCCTCCCTAGATGAATCCTAAGGCTCCCAAGCCTGCAACTCGTTACCGACACCATCCCCTTCCCTACTTCTGCCGGCTGCCTCCTTGCAGACGGCATCCCAGGAATCGCAGATCCTCTCGACCTGCGCTCGACTCTTATGCTGCCATGCCGCAGCTTGGATTTGCTGCTGGACCGCTCGCTTTCGGTAGGGGACATCGCCACTTTGCGACACGAGCTCTGGCAAGCGACGGTTCCAAGCCTGCCCCTCTTCGGCAAAATCTGCATTGGTGATACGGATCATGAACCTGAACAACAAATCCACTTGCACATCAATACACTTATTGCCGACAAATCCTCAGTGCTGAAAGGCTTTTGGCGTCAGCACGTGAGCACTAAAACCCCTGACGTTCAAGACATCGGCTCTGCCGGGTTGACTCCGGAGGGGCTGGGAAACCTGGCGAGAACACGAGAGTGCCGTTTGTAGTTCGGGTTCTCACGAGGCTTTGGGCTATCTAGGGATGTGGGTATTTGGGACTTAGGGTATTTGGGGCTTGGGTCATGGCCCAGCCGCTGCTTGCGGCTTTCCGCCCAGGGTTCAGTGTTAAGGTGATCTAGTGAATGGAACTCCGACGCAACGCAATGCGCATGTTTTGGTTTCGTCTGAACCGCTCAGAGCAACAACCCGGTGTTCTAACTCTAAATCTTTAGCGAGGCTTAAATGTGCTTCTCTTCCGGACCATCACGGGTGCCTTGAACTGAGAGAATTGAGGGACCGAGAAACTTCCCTCGACTCATTTCGCCAAAGCTCTCGAAAAGGCAAAGCTTTCAGCAACAATCACGACCAGCCTCATCCTGTGCGAGATCCCTTGAAATCTGCATGTATCGTAACCTGACTTAACAGGAATCTCTGAAAAATACGACTCAAAACATGACAACTGCTGGACAGCTCGGAACGTACAAGGGCTCGCACGCCGAGTCACACTCCTGTGTTCCATTGATGCTGTTCCGACTCTGCTGCTGACGAGTCAAACTATGGCCCTGGTGCTAAGAAGTACTACCGGCAACATCCGAAGCACAGCACCATCCATGTCAAGACTCACTCATGTGCACACAGACACATACTGAGTGCCCAAGACATGTTAGACTGACATGATCACACTGTCGGATTTGGTAACCATCCGAAGCTTGTGTCTATGCAGGCTCCAAGATGCACTCAACGGAAGCTCGCCCTGCTGCTAGAACACTCGACATGGTGCTCAAACCGGGTGTGATGGCCCAGTGAAGCTTCAAACCGGTGGGGAAGCTCTCTGCTTTGGCGAATTTGGGGGGGGACTCTAGCAGACAACCTGCTTGCACAAGCCAGCTGCACCCGATGCTCTGGAAATGCTGGAGAGCTGCATCTGCCTTTCCTGCTGCGGGCAGCACAGGCCAAGGCTCATGGCTTGAATGCTGCTCTATGTGGTGCTGGTTCTGGGAAAAGAGGTCAGCTGCGAGAGACTTTCTTGCCATCGGAAACACGAGGTTTGAAAAGCTCTCCTATGCAGAAGGCTCGGAAAGCTGTCGAGATGACACATCTGCTAACATAAGCTGCGTTTGATAAGATGGAGAAAGCAACAACAGACATGACGGAAAACAAGCGTGTAAAGTGTAAAACCGCGCCTCTTGGCCTAAGAAAGAATGACAAACAATGTATGTAAAGACCTCAAAGTAGCCATCAACCTTCAAGCAGCAAGGTCGTTGGCCTCAGCCAGAAACAACCGAAATCTGTACAACAAAAAAAGGCCTTTAAGCGCGAGCTCTTGACACATTTCCCCGACTTTGGCCCTGGCCGAAGTAGCACACCCTGCCCTTGGCCAGGACGAGAAGCTTGTCGAACCTAACAGGCGGTGCTTGGGGAACATTTCTTGCTCTGGTGGGGGCTAAAGCCTGGCTAATAGCTTATGGATTCCAGCATCGGAGGAGGAGTGTCTGCTTCACTTTGAAGCTGTATAGCTGTTTCGCTTTTGGGGCTATGGAACACGACTGGGCGCTGTTGTGCAGGTGTGCTCACGTTCCCAAGTGTATCTTCCGAAACCTTCTGCGGTCGTATCACCTGCAACCCCGAAAAAATTCAACTCTTGCCGTAGCATGTCGATGTGGACGAAAACTCTCTCATAACGGAGAAGACGCACCCTACATCCAAGGCCTTTTCCTACCCCTTCCATGCTGAGCAAGAATGCTGGCCACTTGGCCTCCCCGATTCGAGGGCGGTCGAGGCACTCTCTCCAACACCACCCCCCTTCCCGGCCTCCACAACAGAACACCGGCTCCGTTCTTATGGGTTTCTGCTTACTGTTGAAGACGACACTGTCCCTCACGAAACATATGAAGTTGAGAGCTGCACTGGTGGAAAACGTAGGAGGACGGCTGATGAATGGTACCTTGGCGAGCAGACAGCCTTTGTGGCACTCCACGGCGACGTGTTCACATGTTCACAACAGACTGCCTCAGACTGTGTGGCAATGTCGCGACGAAAAGCATGTTGGGCTCGACCGTGCAGGATGGGAGAACTAGTTGAGGCCTGGGGCTGACTCTTCCTGGAATTGCCTGATCGAAGAAAAAACTCCGTGACTCCTGATGACTCTTGAACCTTGACTCGTCACGGTTGAAGACGCCGGAATCTGAGGGATCGGCAAAGGGCAGCCAAGTTATTGGCGACTGCAATGCCAGTCAGGAGCTCAACGATTGCCTCAATCCAAATCCGAAACATCTAAAGACTCAAACAAAACATGTACAACTGTGAAAACAAAACCGAGAGTATGCGCTTATCTGCATGTAAACAATATGTTTATATGTACAACTGCACATACCCACCATAGGAAATCATGCGTATATATATATATATATATATATATGCGTGTGTGTGTGTGTGCATGTATGTATGTATGTATGTATACATAAGTGTGTGTATGTATGTATATATCAAGCTAAATAAACCCACGAAGGACCAACCTCTCACATGAAATATCGACGATTCCCAGAAATTCCAAAACCAGACAAATACACAAAATTAAAGACTTGGTCCAACTGAAAGAAATGTTGCCAGCATAGATCCCCAAGAAGTGAACTAGCACTGCGACGACCCTGACGACCACGACCACTCGGATGCCAGGACCACCACAACGACAACTACCAACAACACGACCACGACCGAAGAGTAGACTAGCAATAAACCACCAGGAGCCCATCAGAAGATAATCAGGAGACCCAACAGACCACCCAGAAACCACCAAAACATCACCACGAAAACCCAGCAGACCACCCACAGACCACATCAGACCGGTGTCCACCACGACGTGTCGGGATGGATGCTCACCAATTCTCGAACCCATATAGTGCGTACATGTGCGTACCACATTTTCTGGTGAATACTGGCAGCCTTGCTGCCTACCGGACCACCCACAGACGCAAGCCCAGCACTCCTGGAACTCGCTGGCATGAAACAAACACATGATGACGATCCGCGGCGCAATAGCACCACTGCCACCAGCACCACCACCACCACCACAAGCCCATCAGCAAAAGAACCTGAAGGAACACAAGTACACGTGATCAACGTCGGGTTGCACGAGTACTGTACGATTCACAAAATAACTTGTTTTTAAGCGCGGAATTTGAGTGTATGCAGGACCTTCAAAGCAACAACCTGGCAAGCCAAAAGCCGGACATTCTGGCAGCTCAAAGCACGCACGCACCACACTCACAGAAGATCTAAATGAAGAATGCAACAACCCACAAAACATGCAACGGACAGCCTAAACAAATACCCAGGTCTAGGGGAGAGAGTGATGGGGGAGGGGGCACCTCGGCGGCCTTGGAATCAAGACCAGAGGTCGGCTCATCCAGCACCTGGCACCACTCTGCGTCCAGCCATTTCCCCCCCTTTACGGCCGGCCGTACAATAGCAGAGGCAGGTTGCGGAATGCTGATGGCTTCCTGATGTCGGCTCTCTGACTGCGCTGCCTTCTGTGGTTCGGTGCTCCATTGATTGCATTGCTTCCCCGCCAGGCCCTTTTTCACAGGATCCAGGATTTGGCTTCGTATTCTTGCTTGAAAAGCTGGGTGGCTGTGCGTAACAAGCTTGCGAAAGTCTCCGCAATCTGTAAGGGTCTGGCCAGGACTGAAGGCCTCTTCAGGAGCTCGACCGCCTCAGCCAGATCCCCAAGCTCATGCAGTGGATCCTTTTGGTGCTGCACCTGTTTTCTGCACGGCATCCACAATCAGGGCAGGGCTAAGCTCACTCGTCGCCGCTGCCCTCCGGACCTTTGCCAGCACTTGTCAAAAAGGCTACTAAACCAAAAGCAAAAGCGGTTTCTCGGATGCCAGCACACCACGGATGACGAGGCCATCTCCGACCTGGGGAGCGCTGGATTTCACTTGCCGCGGAGGACATGGTCTGCAGCTACCTTCGGACCTCCTGGGTCAAAACAAAGCCGGGGGGACCTTCACCTGTTGGCACGCATCCAAGCCGCACTCCTCCAGGAGGTGCTGGACCTGGACTGGAGCCCGAAGCCCGTTTAGACGACAAGTGTTCTCTTGCCGCTCACATCACCGCCACAACTTCGTCTGTGGGTGCTGTTACGAACCAGTGTCGAATGGTACAGCTTGCACTGCTGCCAGATAACTCCCACGATCCGGGTCACCCCGGGCTTGACGACGAAGCTTGCAAGGGCGCTGAACTAGTTCGGCAGCGATGAAGTGACAGGCTAAACAAGGACAGTCGATTCACTGCAAGGTAGGGTTCATCAGCTTCGGCGTGGCAGCACTTGAATTCGAAGCTTTCATGCTGTCAGGTCCCGAGAACCGCAAGGGCTCCAAGCCGGTGGCGGCGGTGGGACAGCGAGGACGGCATCGACAAGGACGACACGGATTATCGCGAGAGAAGAAAGACTGAAAGAAAGAGAGGCCCTTTTGGGATTACGAAACTAGAGAGCAGGTGCTGCACACCAATCACGGACGGCATCGGTAGAGAGAGAGAGAGAGAAAAACAAACAGACGGGCAGGCAGGCAGACAGACAGAGAACCCACGGACAGACAGACAGACACACAGGTCGTCTCCCCGGCGAGGAGACGCGCACCCGTGTTGTCTCCACTACGCCCAAAGGAGCAACACAAAAAGGGTGGCATTGGCTCCGAAAACGTCATGGCCCCGCCACGCCCCCGGATACCCACCCAATGCGGCCCCGACCCGATCAACTGCTAGGGCCCGGGGGCGACAAGGATAATCACACCAAGCAGTAGCGGCGGCCACAGTGATCACAGCAACAAAAGCAACAACAGCAAGCAACAGCAACTACAACAAGAACAGCACCGACATCTTATAATCTTCACCTACTAGCAATACTAGAAGAAACGAGCTGAGCCCCAGACCCTCTTTGCCCGGTCGGCTCGTGATGCCCGACCTCTCACATGATTTGAAGCATGGCAAACCCACGCAGAGAAACCAAAAACGTCCATCCCAAGCCCGAACCCTTGACCACCGAGAGTGACCAACCATGCCAGCATGAGAAGGTTTTTTTGTGAACACCGAACTCAAGAAAACGTGCCTAGCACCACGGGTAGAAGAGAGGAGGAGGAGGAGGAGAGTGGCCCACAGACGTTACTGCGGCCGTCAACCCACTTCCCCCCAAGCATCTCCGAGCGGCTCCGTAATCGTCATAGCCGCTCTCCGCGAGGGGTTCGAGAGGGCGTGTATGTAATGCAGCCAAGTTTCACAGAAGAAGAGGAATGGTAGGGGATTGGAAAAGGAGCTGAAGCCTACAAAGAGGACGGAAGTAGACAGAAGAACAGAAAATCGCAAAAGCACAGACCCCAAACAATGCGAGGCCGGACGGTCTGGCAGTACAAGATAGCCAAGGACAGAGAATGGGAGGCAAGAATTCAACGGAACTTGCGTAAAATGGCGCCGACCCAGAGCCCCAATCTCGAGATTGGGATAACAGCAGCAAACCTACAAACTGCGGAACATGTGAAAGGTGACAACCACACAGATCTCGCGCCATGGAAACAAACCAAAGATGGTGCGAGAAGGTGGTCTGAAATATAACGAAAAGAAACCGACCACAGAGAAAGGGGTGAAAGGCACGCGAAGCTAGACTCCATCAACCCAAGACGGCAAAAACTACGAAAGCCCTAAAAACAACATAGGATGCTGCGCGAAAAGCCGGTTTAACTTGCTGGACCTCCGGGAGGTGTGGAAGACGGCAACAAGCCAGACCTCCAATCTCGGAGCGAGACGGGGGGTCTGGGACTGCAGGCGAAAACCCTGCACGAGGCTTGGAAGCGAAAGACCTGTGGGAGGTGCAGATATCGACAACAACCCAAACCCCCAATATGGAGACGGGGGTCTGGGATTGTGGCCAGAACCCCGCACAAGCATCGTAGGCGAAAGACCGACGGAGGTGCGGAAGATGGCCGCAAGCCAGACCCCTAATCTAAAACCCTGCACGGGCATGGGAGGCCAAAGACCCGCGCGAGAGGCGGAAGATCGCAACAAGCCAGACCCCCAATCTCGGAGCGAGACGGGGGGTCTGGGATTGCAGGCGAAAACCCTGCACGAGGCTTAGGTGCAGATACCGACAACAACCCAAACCCCCAATCTGGAGACGGGGGTCTGGGATTGTGGCCAGAACCCTGCACAAGCATCGTAGGCGAAAGAGACGGAGGTGCGGAAGATGGCCGCAAGCCAGACCCCTAATCTCGGAGCGAGACGGGGGTGTGGGATTGCCGCCAAAAACCCTGCACGGGCATGGGAGGCCAAAGACCCGCGGGAGAGGCGGAAGATCGCAACAAGCCAGACCCCCCATCTCGGAGCGAGACGGGGGTCTGGGATTGCAGCACAAAAACCCTGCACGAGGCATGGATTGCGAAAGACCTGCTGTGGGTGCGGACATGACAGGGCAACCTGGACCTCCAATCTCGGATCGAGACGGGGGGTCGGCACGGCACGGAAGATGGCAACAAGCCAGAAACCCAATCTCGCAGCGAGACGGGGGTCTGGGATAGCAGGGCGAAAACCATGGACGAGGCACGGAAAGCGAAAGACCTACGCGGGGTGCGGACCTGACAGTTACCCAGACCTCCAATCTCGGAGCGAGACGGGGGGTCTGGGATTGTCGCAAGAACCCGGCACGGGCATGGAAAGCGAGGGAATTACGGGAGGGGCGGCAGATGCCAACAAGCCAAACCCCCAATCTCGGAGCGAGACGGGGTGTCTGGGATTGCAGCACGAAAACCCTGCACGAGGCATGGAAGGCGAAAGACCGAAGAAGGCAACAAGCCAGACCCCCAATCTCGGAGCGAGACGGGGGGTCTGGGATTGCAGCACGAAAACCCTGCACGAGGCATGGAAGGCGAACGACCACGCGTGCAAGAAGACAACAAGCCAGACCACCAATCTCGGAGCGAGACTGGGGTCTGGGATTGCAGCACGAAAACCCTGCACAGGCATGGAAGGCGAAAGACCTATGGGAGGCGTGGAAGAAGGCAACAAGCCAGACCCCCAATCTCGGAGCGAGACGGGGCCTACGGGACGCGTGGGAGAAGGCAACAAGCCAGACCCCCAATCTCGGAACGAGACGGAACATCTGGGATTGCAGCACGAAAACCCTGCACGAGGCATGGAAGAAAAAAGACCTACGGGAGGCGTTGAAGAAGGCAACAAGCCAGACCCCCAATCTCGGAGCGAGACGGAGGGTCTGGGATTGCAGCACGAAAAACCCTGCACGAGGCATGGAAGGCGAAAGACCTACGGGAGGCGTGGAAGATGGCAACAAGCCAGACCCCCGATCTCGGAGCGAGATGGGGGGTCTGGGAATGCAGCACGAAAAACTCTGTACGAGGCATGGAAAGCGAAAGACCTTCGGGAGGCGTGGAAGAAGGCAACAAGCCAGACGCCCAATCTCGGAACGAGACGGGGGGGCTGGGATTGCAGCACGAAAACCCTGCACGAGACATGGAAGGCGAAAGACCTTCGGGAGGCGTGGAAGAAGGCAACAAGCCAGACCCCCAATCTCGGAACGAGACGGGCGGGTCTGGGATTGCAGCACGAAAACCCTGCACGAGGCATGGAAGGCGAAAGACCTACGTACGGGAAGCGCGGAAGAAGGCAACAAGCCAGACCCCCAATCTCGGAGCGAGATGGGGGGTCTGGGATTGCAGCACGAAAACCCTGCACGAGGCATGGAAGGCGAAAGACCTACGGGAGGCGTGGAAGAAGGCAACAAGCCAGACCCCCAATCTCGGAACGAGACGGGGGTCTGGGATTGCAGCACGAAAACCCTGCACGAGGCAGAAGGCAACAAGCCAGACCCCCAATCTCGGAACGAGCCGGGGGGTCTGGGATTGCAGCACGAAAACCCTGCACGCGGCATGGAAGGCGAAAGACCACGGGTGCAAGAAGGCAACAAGCCAGACCATCAATCTCGGAGCGAGACAGGGGTCTGGGATTGCAGCACGAAACCCTGCAGGAGGCATGGAAGGCGAAAGACCTACGTACGGGAAGCGCGTAAGAAGGCAACAAGCCAGACCCCCAATCTCGGAGCGAGATGGGGGTCTGGGATTGCAGCACGAAAACCCTGCACGAGGCATGGAAGGCGAACGACCACGCGTGCAAGAAGACAACAAGCCAGACCACCAATCTCGGAGCGAGACTGGGGTCTGGGATTGCAGCACGAAAACCCTGCACAGGCATGGAAGGCGAAAGACCTATGGGAGGCGTGGAAGAAGGCAACAAGCCAGACCCCCAATCTCGGAGCGAGACGGGGCCTACGGGACGCGTGGGAGAAGGCAACAAGCCAGACCCCCAATCTCGGAACGAGACGGAACATCTGGGATTGCAGCACGAAAACCCTGCACGAGGCATGGAAGAAAAAAGACCTACGGGAGGCGTTGAAGAAGGCAACAAGCCAGACCCCCAATCTCGGAGCGAGACGGAGGGTCTGGGATTGCAGCACGAAAAACCCTGCACGAGGCATGGAAGGCGAAAGACCTACGGGAGGCGGAAGAAGGCAACAAGCCAGACCCCCAATCTCGGAGCGAGATGGGGGGTCTGGGATTGCAGCACGAAAACCCTGCACGAGGCATGGAAGGCGAAAGACCTACGGGAGGCGTGGAAGAAGGCAACAAGCCAGACCCCCAATCTCGGAACGAGACGGGGGGTCTGGGATTGCAGCACGAAAACCCTGCACGAGGCATGGAAGGCGAAAGACCTACGGGAGGCGTGGAAGAAGGCAACAAGCCAGACCCCCAATCTCGGAACGAGACGGGGGTCTGGGATTGCAGCACGAAAACCCTGCACGAGGCAGAAGGCAACAAGCCAGACCCCCAATCTCGGAACGAGACCGGGGGTCTGGGATTGCAGCACGAAAACCCTGCACGCGGCATGGAAGGCGA